TGGCTGTTCTTCCAGAGGTCCTGAGTGCAATTCCCAGCAACCACATGGTGGCTCACAACCATCCATAATGAGATCTGGTGCCCTCCTCTGGCCTGCAGGGATACATGCAAACAGAACACTGTATACATAATAAATAAATAAATCTTAAAAAACAAACAACAAAAAAAAAAAAACAAGAGTGTTTCTTACTCTTGTCTAAGAAGTAATTATTATTTAAAAAAAAAAAACCTGCCTTTGAATTCTCCCTCATTGAAGAATGCTTCCTACACAGGTGGGCATGAAAGGGATGGATTTCTTAGAGCGGTAGAGACCCTCAAGCGTGAGAAGCCGGTGTGCATATTGTCCCTTCTCTGCATGGGCATGTGGATCATTGCAGGAAGCAGAAGGGGAACAAAGAGAGCCGCCATGCTTCTGAAGCCCAGAACTATTTAGAATAGGGTAGATGTTTACTTACTTGCTGTGTGTATGCATGGGTGCCATGGCACACACAAGTGTTAGGGAGCAACCTGTGGGTACCCGTTCTCCCAGGGGTGAAACTGGGGTTACTTTACCTGCTCTCACCAGCCCAGGCCCGACCTTTGGTGGGTCTCTAACCTTCCTCCATCAGCACTCAGCAGTGGTACCAACGGTGAGGAGCAGGGTTATTCTCCGCAGCACAGTTGGCCCGGACAGGGCGGCAGAGAACCTGCTGTGTTCCCTCCCTCCTGGTAAGCAGTCAGTCTCCACCACGCAGCTTGCCGGCTGTGAGCCTTCACTTTGCTGTCCTGTCGACTTGTTCACGGGTGATGGAGATGTGAGCGCGGGTCCTGAGGAGCTTGCTCAGCACTCCTGCAGCTCCCGGGGCTGGGTTTGATAGGGTTAGGGTTACAGTAGCAAGGTTTAGGGGCTATCCAGATAGTCAATAGATGAGTCTTCCGAAGTGTATTTATAGCAAGACAGTCATAAACACTTGCGGCTTTGGGTTTTTCATTTCTCGGTAGAACAGATATATCTGTTCTGGTAAGAGGACTTTCGTTGCTATTTCTAAATTCCCCCTTTTCTCAGGAACTAGGAGAAGAAACAGTTAACTAAGCAATAGCAGCCTTTTTGTGGCCCATTTCTACAGACCCAGGAGGACAGGGACATCCCCTTCTTTCTAGGCTCTGTCTACTAACGGCTTTCTAGAAAGCTCTCCTGCTCCGCTGACCACAGCATGCTGATGGTGTTCAGACAGCCGGCAGCACTTTTCTTAGACCAGGAGAAATAGCCAGAGAAGAAACCGGCAAACTTCCGATGTAAAAGCCATAGATAATTAGGTTGGTGATTTCTGAACAGATTGTAGAATGTACGAACCAAGCAAAAAAGTACAGAGAAAAGGTTATTTTGAGGTGCGGGCCCTGCCAGTTTCCCTTTTTCTGAGCCCAAGAGTATTTTCAGGGTCTTTCCAAATGACAGTTAGCCTGGAGATGAGATGATGTTTTCTTCTTTTCAGATTGATTTCGTAGCCCATGACGATATCCCCTATTCTTCTGCTGGGAGTGATGACGTGTATAAGCACATTAAGGAAGCAGGTGAGTGGGTTGATGTCCAGCTTCACTTTATGGGGTCTTGGGCAACTTCAGAGATTCAGCCATGGCATTGCTTTGCAGTAGAAAATGTGAACTCTGAGAAATCCAGCATTCTGCTTCTGGTCAAATTGTGGACAACGGTGTGAGTGAGCACACCCAGCACCTGTCAGTTCTTGCTCCAGACACCTCATTTCAATCTCTTAAATTTAGCACAAGTCTATATTCTTACCATTAGGACATGTGTGCTCCTTTCTTCCAGGCCTTGATTCAGTGTTCCTGTGTGCCAGGATCTTTAGAGTCCACTATAGGAATAACTGGAGTCTGCCTTTTTTTCTGTCCTGGAACTCACAGTGTAGACCAGGCTGGCCTTGAGCTCACAGAGATCCACCTGCTTCTGCCTCCCAAGTGCTGGAATTAAAGGAGAGTCTGGGTTTTTTGTTTGTTTGTTTGTTTTTGAGAAATAGAGAAACGTGCTGCTCCCAGGTTCTGTCTGGCCCACCCTTCTGATGAGCCAGGACATCAGTGTTTGTCTGTTTGTGTTTTGATTAGGCATGTTTGCTCCGACACAGAGGACAGAAGGTATCTCCACATCAGATATCATCACCCGCATTGTCCGTGACTACGATGTATATGCAAGAAGGAACCTCCAGAGGGGCTATACCGCCAAGGAGCTCAATGTCAGCTTCATCAACGTGAGTTGCAACCTCATCTCATAGTTCCCTTCCTCTGGAGGACACACACACCTTGCTTCCCATGCCATCTGGGCTGAGCATGCTTTTCAGTCTGCTGTGATTATCATTTCCCAAAGCTAATGCACACCCCTTTGCAGGAAATATGGCACCAAACTGTTGTTGTTTGTTTTTGGTCTTTTGGGGGCCCACCACCCAACTCCCAAATAAGTCACACATGGAGGCTTATTCTTTTGTTTTGTTTTGTTTTGTTTTTCAAGACAGGGTTTCTTTGTGTAGCTCTTTTGGTGCCTGTCCTGGAATTCACTTTGTTTTCAGGCTGGCCTTGAACTCACAGAGATTCACCTGCCTTTGCCTCCCGAGTGCTGGGATTAAAGGTGTGTGCCACCAACACCACCCAACTTATTTGTAATTATAAATGCCCGGCCTTAGCTTGGCTTGTTTCTAGCCAGCTTTTATAAACAACTAAATTATCCCATCTACCTTTGGCCTTGGGTTTTTATCTTTCTCTATTCCTGTATACCTTTTCTTTGTTTCTTATTCCATGTCTGGCTGTATAGCTGGGTGGCAACCCCTGGGTCCTCCTTCCTCTCATTCCTTCTTCTTTCCTCTTAGATTTCTCCTTCTATTTATTCTCTCAGCCTGCCAGCCCCACCTGTCCTTTCTCCTGTCTTGCTATTGGCTGTTCAGCTCTTTATCAGACCATCAGATATTTTAGACAGGCACAGTAACACAGCTTCACAGAGTTAAACAAATGCAACATAAACAAAAGTAACACACCTTGAAATATTCTCCAACACTAAGCACTGCACAGAGGCAGGGTCTAGTATCTAATATGGTGGAATAATATCAGAATATTTGTATATTGATACAAGGACAGACAAACACAGCCAGACATGGTGCTGCACGCCTTTAATCCAGCATTCAGGAGGCAGAGGAAGGTGGATCACTGTATGTTCCAGGCCAGCTAGGGCTGCACAGTGACATCCTATCTTTAATATATATATATATATATATATATATATATATATATATATATATAAATTACTATATAAAATTCATCAAATCAAATAGGAATGTATAATTGAGAATGCCTGATAGTAATTGGCGGTGGTTGGTGTTGGGCGCTGGTTACTGCGTGGAAAGGTCATGGTCAGGACAGAACCCAGTGGTACCTTTTAGAGCTTCATTAGGAGGAGAAGGGAGGGGGAGGGAGGGGACCAGGCCTGGTGAGAGAGAAAGATGGGGGAGGGAGCGGAGCCGAGAGGAAACACAGAGAGTGGGGGGGTGGGCGTCCGCATCCAGCTTTTTAAGGCGGGGATTGTGTGACCACATGGCGAAGTCGCCAGTGCTTGCTGATGCCATAAGATGCCAGACCCCGAGGAATGAGAGCAGAATCCTAACAATGCCTATAGTCCCAACACAGATATATCTGTTCCAGTAAAAGGACTAGAGGCAAGAAGATCAGAATTTTGAGGCCAGTCTTAGTGACGTGACACTCTGTCTCAAAAAACAATAAAAGAGAGGCTCTTAACTGGCTGGTTTTTTTGTTTTGTTTGTTTGTTTGTTGTTTTTTGTTTTGTTTTTGAGACAGGGATCCTTTGTGTAGTTCTGGCTGTTCTAGAACTCACTTTATGGACCAGGCTGGCCTTGAGCTCACTGAGATCTGCCTGCCTCTGCCTCCCAAGTGCTGGGATTAATGGTGAGTGCCACCACCGCCTGGCGGTTTTTGTTTTTTTCAATTGGGTGTTCTTTTGAGAATTATGATGAAAACTACGGACCTTTCCCCATGTGGCTAATGAATGACACACAGCATTTATTTTATATACAGTTTCCCCACATGGGCTATTTATTTAGCAAGTGCATAACTATCGCCAGCACTTAGGAGGCTGAGACTGGAGGATTGCAAATATGAGGCATGGCAAGACTGTCTCATAAAACAAAAGCAGGAGCTGGAGAGATGGCTCAGTGGTTAAGAGCACAGGCTGCTCTTCCTGAGGACCCGGTTCTTTTCCCAACATCCATGTTGCAGCTCACAGTCATCTGTAACTCTGGTCCCAAGGCATCCAGTGTCCTCCCTGGACCCCGAGGGCTCTGCGTATACGTGGTGCCCTGACAGCAGGCAGACAGTACAACGACAGACTCACCTGTGTACATGAAACAAAAAGGAAGGGAAAGACCGAAAACAAAGGATTTCTCCTCCTTCTCTTCCTCTCCTTCCCTTCACCTTGTGCGACCAAACGTACACTGTTACGGGGCTGTCTGTGGCCTCTCCCTTCTTCTTCATGATAGAGAAATTAGGAGAGGACATTTTTAAAATAATGTATTTCATGTGCGCTGGTGTTTGCCTGCATGCATGTCTGTGTGAGGGTGTCAGGTCCCCTGGAACTGGAGTTAGAGACAATTGTGAGCTGCCATGTGGGTGCTGGGAATTGAACCTGGGTCCTCTGAGAGAACAGCCAGTGCTCTTAACCTCTGAGCAGTCTCTCCAGCCCTGCATTGCTTTGTTTTTAACAAAAGGTCTCAAGTTACAGCCCAAGCTGACCTGGAACTTGTGATCCTCCTACCTTGGCCTCCTGAGTACTGGGGTTACCGGCGAGTGCCACCATGCTCAGATGGTACAGTACTTTACCTCTGACTAAATATCACTCCTTCTCCAGAGAGCATTTAGACCATTTTACACTAATGTTAGGGACATTGGTAGGACCAACTTTCTGCCATTTTTCAGATGATCAAGCAGATCTCCAACTTCTAAAAAATAAAACAGGGGCTGAGAAGATAGCTCGGTTGGTAGAGTGTTTGCTCCGCCAGCAGAATGACCTGAGTTCGGATCCCCAGCACCCTGTAAAAGCTAGGTGTGGCAGCGCACCCTCTAAGGACTCGGCAGCCGGCCGGCCTAGCAGAATTGGTGAGCTCCAGGTTCAGTGAGGGAGCCTGTCTCAGGAAAGTAGGGTAGAGAGTGGTTGAGACACCTGATGTTGACCTCGGACCTACGCACATACGCACAGACGTGGGTGCGTGCACAAACACAGTCTATGGGTAGGTGCATGTGAATGCAGCAGCCGGCAGGGGCCAGAGGTGTCAGGGCTCCCAGGAGCTGGACAGAGAGGCAGTGAGCCGTCTTAAGTGGGTGCTGGGAATCAAACTCAGGTCCTCTGCAAGAGCAGGAGGAGCTCTTAGTAACCTGAGCCGTCTCTTCCAGCTTGGGTATCATGTCCTAAAAAACCATCTGTTTTGTCCTAGGAGAAGAAATACCACTTGCAAGAACGGGTTGATAAAGTCAAGAAGAAAGTGAAAGATGTGGAAGAAAAATCCAAAGAATTTGTGCAGAAGGTGGAAGAAAAGAGCATTGACCTCATCCAGAAGTGGGAGGAGAAATCCCGGGAATTCATCGGCAGTTTCCTGGAGATGTTTGGTCCAGAAGGGGCGCTGGTGAGAGCCTGCCTTCCTACACTGGGGGATATGGGTGGGGGTGCTTCCCACTGCTGCTGGACTAGTGATTGAGTCCAGAGCATAGTACACATGCTAGCGAGCGCTCGCCACTGAGCTACACTACATACTCTGCCTTATTTATATATTTATTATTTTTGAGACAAGAACTCACTATGTAGCCTTGGTTGGCTTGAAACTTGCAGTGTAGACCAGGCTGGCCTAGGATTCAGAGTGATCTCTGTCTCCCAACTGCTAGATGAAGGTGTGTGCCACCACACCAGGCTTATTCATTAATTATTTGGAGGCAGCGTCTCCCTAGGGTGGGTGCACTTAGGCCTGAACTCTCTATGTGGCCCAAGGCAGGTCTTGAACTTGTGACTCTAATGTTTCAGCCTCCAGTCAATATACAGTGCATTAAGGGAATCGCACTGCTGTGGAAAGGAATATAGACTCTGAGCAGAAAGGAACATCAAAATTAAGAAGTTATCTTACCTAGTCATCCATTTTCCTAGTAATTTTGTCAGCTGTCTATCAACCTGGACAGCTGGAGTCAAGATAAGTAGGTAGTCTCTTACTTCTGTGTTTTGGGTTTACATGGAAGAGGGGGTGGGGGGCAAACAGAGAGCAGAAAGAAAGCTTCCTCTCTGTGAGGAGCTGCTGTGGGGCCCCAATGGAATAGCAGTGCCTGCAAACTAAATGAGAATTCCACTCTGAGCCTTTGTTTTTGCCCGAGGGTAACTGCATGCTAAGTAGCCTTGGAAGAGTGTCTCTGATGGAAGTCAGGGAGAGGCTGATTGACAAGCAGGTGGGACTCAGAGAAGCGATCCAGTGTGCCGGGGAAACTGCTAGAATTTCAGTTGTGCCCTCCCGTCTGTCTTCTGAGTCATGTTTGGCATAGCAGAGGCAGAGTGTTGCCCTCACACGCTTGAGACATAGCTTTGATCCTCAGCAACAAAGAACAACTACACAGGGGAGATGGGAAATAACGTGAGGTTTCCCAGGCTCTGGGAGAGACTCTGTGGCCCTTAGGTACCTATCTTCTAACTCTCCCTTCTGGTCTCCCTCCCCAGAAACACATGCTGAAGGAGGGGAAAGGCCGGATGCTGCAGGCCATCAGTCCCAAGCAGAGTCCCAGCAGCAGCCCCACCCACGAACGCTCCCCATCCCCCTCCTTCCGATGGCCCTTCTCTGGCAAGACGTCCCCATCTTCCTCCCCAGCAAGTCTCTCTAGGCGCAAGGCTGTGACCTGTGACATCAGCGAGGATGAAGAGGACTAACGTCCCATCCCTGTCCCCTCTCCCTCCCCCTGCCTGTCACCTCCAGAAGCTCTCGGTGGAATTCCATTCTGTGATCCCAACACTAAACCCAAGGACATCTACAAAGGAAAGGCGAAGGGGCAGGAGGACCCGGGCATGGGGAAGCAGACCGCCCGTGCCCCGCGACCTCCGCCAGCCACACCCAGGAGGCTGAGCACATCTTAGAAACCTGCTCGCATCCATCCTCCCTCCCAGAGCTTTGCTTTACTGTTTATGTCATGTAATCTTGACAGGGCAATTGTCATTTTTATTAATTTTTTAAAAATTAGTCTTTCAAATATAGTAAGTAGAACTAATTTTTTGCCCCTGAGGAGTGGGCAGAAGAAGGAGGCGTGTAATGCCCAGAGGCCTTTCTTCCTGACACACTAGTGCTTGCCTTCTGTTCTGAAGAGAGCGGCTTACCAGGTCCTGCGAACAAAGAGCCATGCTGATGTGTGACGTGGCGAGATGACTGCAACTCTGCCTTCCCTAAAACATCTAGAGCCTGAATCAGCTCCGGAGTCCCTGGGGTCCTGCCGGCCCGTGTGTCAGTCTGGCTGTGGAGGGGAGAGATGGAGCCTCACTTTTCCTACTCCCTGAGGAGTTTCCTGTTGGACCCAATGGGGTCCATGCAGACGCTGATGGGGACGGAACCGAACCGCAGAGCGTCCATGTTCATCTTCTCAGAAACTTCTGTTGCCCAACTCTTTGGGAGCTCTTGTCAATCTCTTTCCTGCAACTACCTGTAAAGGAAGGAACACTGAGGGCTGCTGGGATCGCAGAGGGCAGTGGGGTGGACTCAGTCCAGGGCAAGGGCGGTTGTGGTCGAGTTCCTGTTGGGAATTCATCCCTCACCCTGCAGCTCCCATGTCAGCACCCTGCCTGGCTGGATACAAAGGATGCTTTGAGCGTCTCCAGTGTGAACTCGACCCGTTAACCCATGTTGCTTAACCCATGTATTTAACACTTAGATTTTCCACAGAGCACCCAGGCAAAAGCGTCAGAGAACACTCTGATCTCGAAAACACTCTTACTGACCTCCGCCCCTCTTAAGAATGCTCTTGGGTCAAATCAGTGGCTCCTGGAGGCTCTTGATCCTCAAAGAGCTGCACCTGGCAGGGACTCCCTCCTCTGCCCCTCCAGAAGCCCCAGGCATGGGCTAAACTACTAACCCAGAGGTCGGTGCCCCCGCCCCACCTGTTTGAGAGGAAACAGAACTGGAATTTCAAATCAAAGGCTGCTGATTCTCGACCCCTGCTGTCATGGCTGAGCTGATGTTTTCAGTCCCCTGGCCTCATCTCAGCACATGGCCCAGTTCCTCACTGTCAGCTATCCTGCCATGGTGGGATTTAGGGCAAAGTTGTTTATTCCAGGACCTACTTGTTGTCCCTCATGAACACCCCTTGTGGGGGTGGAGCTTTAGGGTTTTCAGCAAAGAAAACCGCATTTTCTTCCTCCTTGTACCCTGTTAGGACTGTGGGCATGTCATAGCCCTCCCCAGACACTTGCTGGGGGAGGCTGTGTTACTGCCCAACGGTCTGAGGCTCGCGGCACGAAATGCCTGCATGGCAGGCCTACCTAGCGCCTCAGCTATCTCCCAGGCAGGCAGAGCAGAGGAGGGGTCAGAGAGGCACACCTCGGTGTCCTGATGGCCCGTGGAAATGCCATTCCTAGCTCCTCACACAGGGCTGTTTTCACTGTCAGATCTGATCCACGTGGCCTTGGCCTGGACTCCTTTCTCAAACCCGCTGAAGTGAGGGTTTTCTCGTGTTATGTCGCACTGCATAGCTCATTCTGACTCTTCTACTTTGCTCCTCTCTTTGGCGATCCGTCTCTCTCTCTCCCTCTGCCTTATTCTCCTGCGTATACAAAAGTGATCACTACTGACACTCACCTGCTTCGTCCCCACAGTGCATGTCACCCGAGCCGGCACTGTGGGCATGGAAAGGGTCTCAAACATCAGAGCCTCTAGGCTGACAAGAGGTGTACCGTAGCCAGGGCTAGCCTACGCTCATGTTTTCAGAATGCCCCTCCCCCTTTCCTATCTCCTAACACTCATAGTCTCAGATAACCCAGACGTGAGCCAAAACGTCTAGGGTGTGGCAGCATGTTAGGTGCTTGAGGGTCAGTGTGCTCCTAGGTGCTAGAAAAAGGTGCTGTCGGGATGCTGCACTGTCGGCCTAGTTAACTGTACCTAGTTAAGTGTGGTTAAGCGTTTGGATGTTGTGTCTGACTAATCCGCACCTCTCCCTGTGCCGCCTCAGCTGTGGGGCTCTTCCCCGAGGCCGGATAAGAAAGCAAGCCGCATGAAGGGTCAGATGGCAAGTTGTTTGGCCTCGAAGCCTCTGTGCCATAGGAAGTGGCTGCAGACAGGAGTCTTCTAGCTGGTGCGGAGGAGAGGCCGGGATAGCAGCTAATCTGGGCGTGGGCTGGACAGGAACATTGCTCTTTTCATATACTAGGCTGGAGACTGGAGAATAGAGGTTGCCACACAAAGTAGAAATGGGTTGCTAGTGCCCGCAGCTCGGGAGAGCTGAGCCAAAACCCCTTTGCGGAGGAAGGGACTTGGAGTTGAGAAGGCTGAAGATCCCGAGGAAGAGGAACGGAGAGACCTCTCTGGTCCCTTCTCTCCAGCACTGTAGCTCCTCTCACTGTGGCCGCACATCTGGCCAGCCGTCTAGGATCACCCTCCACGGTGGCTCTTCCCAATGCTTTGTCACTGTCCCCAGCCCATGTTCACTCACGTACTCCACGTTCTGGAGCCTGTCGTCTTTGAGATCTGTTCTTTATCAACTTTTCAATCCTTTCTCAAATCAGTTCTGTTTCCCTGCTTTGGTTTAACCCCCTAAAGCCATAGCTTCTAGATTTCTGTCAGCATCCATGTGCCGAAACTGAACCCACACAGGGTTCAAAGAAAGCTTCCTTAACGATGTTTTTAAAACTAATGGTATTTTTTTTAAGCTTACCAATATAAGTATTTTTAAAGGTTGTATTTTTCAAAGTCATAACAATGATTGTTTTCTCTCACAGAATAGATTATCATGGGATAAAGAATGGTCCCTAGCTTCTATTTTTCAGAATAAATAAGTATAACATATTCTTGGACTTTGATACATTAAAGGTTAATTCTCCTAAAAGAAAAAAGAAATGTAGTCTGTCTGCCAGAATTTGTTGTCAGTCTGAGATTGGGGTAGAGAACAGAAATGGCAGTATTAACGTTTGGGTGGCCCAGATTGGGTTCTACCTGGTTTGAAGTGAGCGCCCTCCACCGCCTTGGAGGAACCAAGTGTTGTAAACAGAATTGATTGCACCTAGGCTGCTGAACAGCAGACACTTGGGGAATCTCACCCATGCCGTGATCACCTGCCTATCACCAGTGCGAGTCCGTGGGGGAATTTGCTCAGAGTTCCGTGTGCCGCTTTCCTGTCTAATAACGTGTCCAGTTATTTTGGCTTTTGTCATTTAGCCAAATAAAGGTCATGTGGTTTTGCCTGGTGTTTCTGTTTGCTGTAGTTTTGACCAGGCAGATATGTGTTAGGTATTGGGGCTTTTTTCTTTATATTCCCAGTTCCTCTGAATTTGCGTCCTGATTTCTGTCCTCAAGATCAAGCTTCATGACGATGCTAACGAGCAGTTCCATTTGCAGCTTCTTAGGGAAAACTCAAAAAGCTGGCACAAAGGGACCCCAGACCTCCCATGGCCAACTGGTACCCCCCCAAGGAAAGAACGGCTTGTACGGCAGAGCCGGGCTTCTTTGGGAAGCTGGACTGGTGCTGTTTTGCCCGGCTAAGGCCTGCCCCTGTTCTTATGTCAGATAAACCACACATAAACCATGAACTCTTCTCCCCTTTATTCTGCTGTGCAGAAGCTCAGGGTGACCAAGAGTGGCACCCACAGAAGGAGTGTGCCTCGTGCAGAGTCTCAGCCTTCACCCTGTTCCTTCCAAAACTTCAAACGCCTTCCCCGAGCAAAACCCAGAGGAGTTCCGCATACTGCACTTGACCTCCATCCCTATAGTCAATATGGAAGCTGCCGGCCTGCGCTGCCAGTGGGAGCCTTAACCGCTGGTTAAGGTCGAGGGACAGGAGAAATCTCATGCTCTTCCAAGAAGGACAGTGTTTTCCTTAGTCCAGGCCACTCGCCTCAGGCTTTGAGTCTCAAGTCCAGGTCTGGTGCCGAGCAAGTCTCGTACCCAACCTTGTTATCTTTCCTTCGATAGTACATCCGCGTCAGCACCGTCATCAGGAAGGTCTCCACTATGAGCATGTGGCAGTTCATCACTGCAGTGAGAAGTGGAATGGACAGAGGTTATACTGCGTCAGAGACCAGGGAGCTAGGGCAACCCTGGCAAGCCAGCTGAGAGACACCGCAGTTTACCTCTGGACCAGGACCTAGGGGTGCCAAACTGCTGTGTGGAGCAAGGCAGACCAGCGGGAGCCAGAACTCAGCTCTGACGTCTCATCTGAGGCCAGCGTGTGCGTTTCCTCCGCACTCTGCTTCCTAACCATACCCATTCTTGTCCCAAGTTGAGGACTGAACCCCTGGCCTCCTGGTTTGATCATTAGGACTGGCCTCAAGCTGGGGACATTGCAGTTCTCTATGATCAGAGAGGCAGGAGTCCTCAGAGCCTCTGCCTGCTTTCTTGGATTCTTCCTGAACATTCTGAGCAGACATCAGGCTGGCCCACTTCTGTCCCAAGGTCCTGTCTCCCCTGCCCACTCCCAGTCTGGCCCGTGACGTGGAAAGGAGCCCTAAGTGCTTACCTTGGGACCTGATTTTAGAAGAGAAGGGAGGTGAGCAAGCAATCTGCCCGCCATTCGCCAAGATGGAGAAAATGGAAGGCTGTAGGGCAGTCAGGATGACAAGAACCTGTGGCGTAGAAGAGATGGGGGTAGAGGGTTGGCACCAGCCACCCCTGGTCCTGAGGCCAGTGCAGACCAGTCTCTGCAGTTAATGGAGGGCTGAGACTTAAAACTATATTGAAAATCGGTGCAGTTTCATCTTCAGGCAAATTATAATCGTGCTTACACCTCACTCACTAGGGTTGCTCATAAAACAATCAGCCTTGCCGGGCGTTGGTGGCGCACGCCTTTAATCCCAGCACTCGGGAGGCAGAGGCAGGCGGATCTCTGTGAGTTCGAGGCCAGCCTGGGCTACCAAATGAGCTCCAGGAAAGGCGCAAAGCTACACAGAGAAACCCTGTCTCGAAAAACCAAAAAACAAACAAACAAACAAACAAAAAAACCAATCAGCCTCTCTCTCTCATGGGCACCATCAGACCCTCAGTGGCATCCAGACAGGTGACAAGGTCATGTGGTGATAGAGGCAGAGGCTGGAGTGATACAGCAAAAGGCCAAGGAAGGACCACCATGGACTGCTGGCCAATTCCAGAGAGGAAATGGCAAGCCGGGTTCTCCCCGGCAGCTTCCAGATAGATCACGGCTCTGCCTCCATTTTGATTTGGGGTTTCCAGGCTCTCAATCTGTGCAATAATATATTTTGTTGTTTTAAGCTCGGTTGGTATTTTGTGGCACAGAAAATCAAATAAGAGATAAAATGAAAGTGGGGTGTGTGTGGAGATAATGTTCCAAATCTCCCAGGAAACCCAAAGGTTAAGACCGTCGGGTCCACTCTGTTAGTCCTACCCCGTCATGTGTTGTCTAGCACCAACACATGACGGGGTGTAGTTACCTGGAACAGAGCGAACTTGGATCCCATATTCTGTTCACCCAGGTGCATCTTGGCTTGACGGAACAGGATGGCCAGCGACCAGAGAGCGAACAGTGTGGACACGCCGAGGAAAGTGTTGATCCACAGAGCCGTGCTCTTCTCGGAAATCTGGCGGCAGACCAGGAAGCCATCAGGAGGACAAAGCCTCTCTTTGTTCCTCCTCGTCCATGTGGACAAAGGCGATACAAAAGCCCCCAAGCCTGGACTTCATCTCCCCACCGGATTCTCTGGGCTATTACTCTCCCGTGGTCACCCTGCCCTTGGCCCTGTGGGTCGCTGGTGCTCAGACGTTAGTTCTAGAACCCAAAGATAACGAGTCTTAGGCTTTACTGCCTCCTCTTGGCTTACGTCTGATGGGTCGAAGATGCCGTCAGGGATGAGGAAGAGCCCCACTATGTTCAGCATTATCTTGAAGAAGGCATACTGGAAAGCGCCCAACATCAGCAGCTGAAGCTTCTTCCTGAAGGAGGACAAGAGTGAAGAACGTGGACCCATAAAGCGCCCACCCTAAGGGAGCCTGGCCCCTCCGCTGAGCTCCTGGACGAAGGCTGGGCTGACATCACGGCTTGGTTCACGGGTGAAGGCACTGTAGAGTAGGTTGGGAGCACCGGGAATCCTCGCCTCGTACTTGCCCCTGATGGTGCCTTTTGAGGAGGAGCTCAAAGTATTGACTTTTCAAGTTCATTACTCAAAGTAGGCAGGGGCCAAGCAAGCACCCAAACTACAGTTTTCTCTTTGCCACTGCAGTGGGAGCTGGGCATGATAGAAAACACCTTTAATCCCTGCACTCGGGAGGCAGAGGCAGGAGGATCTCTGTGAGTTCCAGGCCAGCCTGGTCTACAGAGCGAGTTCCAGGACAGCCAGGGCTACATAGAGAAACCCCGTCTCAATAAATAAATAAATAAATAAATAAATAAATAAATAAATCAATAAATAAATAAATAAATAAATAAATAAATAAATAAATAAATAAATAAATAAATAAAAATAAAAGGTAAGTAGGTAAGTAAGTGAGTAAGTAAGGCAGTGAGCTGAAGCATAAGACTTCTTCTTCTGGGGCTGGAGAGATGGCTCAGCGGTTAAGAGCACTGACTGCTTTTCCAGATAACCCGGGTTCAATTCCCAGCACCCACATGGCAGCTCACAACTGTCTGTAACTCCAGTTTCAGAGGACCTGAAACCCACACCAAAACACTAATACACATTGAAAAAAAATTCTTCCTGTTCTCTCCTGGGGGGAGGGGAGGGCAGGTGCCCATGTGGGGGGTCCTGGCTGTGGGATATCTACCTTTATCATTGGCTTTGTCCCATACAGGCTTAATTTCAAGAGCCTCGAACTACCGGGGCTACAGAGCCTTATGCTCACTTGTCCCTGTGGGATACCTCTCCCCTGCCTTACCTGGTAAGTATGAGGGGTGGGCAGCAGGGGCAGCAGCAGCAGCAGGGACCCGTGTGCACCCTCATCGGGGTGTCCTTCAGTGTCCTCAGAACTGCATCCTTCCCGCCGAAGCCTTCCACCATGACCAGCATCAGCAGGTAAAAGACTATGGCGTAAAACCTGGGGGAGAGGAGGCAGATTGCAAGCGCGTGGGTAGAGCACCACAGTGCACCCCTTTTCTGCTCAAGGGATAGAGATTGCCGGGAGAGCTGGGGTTCTCAAGGAAGGGGCCAAGGGCCTGGCGTTTTAGTTGTTTTTTTCAAGACAGGGTTTCTCTGTGTAGCCGTGGCTGTCCTGGAACTCACTCTGTACTCAGAGACCTGCCTGCCTCTGCCTCCCCCCATGTTGGGATTAACGGTGTGTGTCACTGCTGCCCAGCTGAGGCTGGCATTTTAGATGCATAGCTCGAGGAACAAGAGAGGTGACTGGGTCCAGAGGACTGGGAAAGGGAGCATTTGGGGCCTCTGGGAACAAACAGGGACTGAAGAGTGTGCCCCCCAAAAAGGCATCCCCTGAGCACAAGCAAAAGTTCAAGGGCCTGCCATCAGCACAGGTTGGCAAGAGCGAGATTCCTATCAACGGGGCTTCAAGACAAGGACTTTGGAGGCTTGGGTGTCGGAAAAGGACGGTCAGGGATGCTCATCCCCAGTGGTGAGGGCGGGGCCAGACACTCACGACGTTATGGCCATCTCCACGAGTGTGAGGGCTCGAGGGATCCAGAGGCCAAAGCAGCAGAGCACAGACACCACCTGCTCGCAGAAGAACAGGATGCAGGTTAGGGCGGGGCGAGCAAGACCAGCCCAACTTTTTGTAGCTAGAGCTCCAAGAAGCCAGACCTGTGTGTTCGAGGCACTAGTCCTTCCGCTGGCTAGCTGCTGCGCCTGGGTCAGTGGCAGAGCATGCACAGGGCCCTGGGCTCCGTACCCAGAACCAACCAAAGTAGAAACAAGGACTGGTGACATGACTCAGCATGTGAAGGTGCTTCTCACGAAAACCTGGTAACTTGAGTTCAATCCCCAGAACCCACGTTAAGAGCGGAACAAGAGAACCAACTCCACAAATTTGTCTTCTGACCTCTACACATGAGCTGTGGCATGCATGTTCCCCCCATCATGTGCACGCACACACTAGTAATAATAACAATAATAACCCATTTTTAAAGTAAAAATTGCAACTGGAAAATAACTGAATAAATTAAATCCAGGTTCTGTGCAATGGCTGCATAGATAAGTTTTAAAAGGCTCACAGCTGCTGGAGCTGTGGCTCAGTGGTAGGGTGTTCAGTACCCACAAGGGGAACAAAGAAAAAACAAGCCCACAGGGGAAGGCTGAGTATGGCCCTGTGGACACAAATGCCTGTGTATTGGAAGGTGGCCTGCTTTTACCATCAGTGCCATGCTGCAGGGAAAAGGAGCGGGCACAGCCTGGTGCCGGGTGGGTCGCTGTCTGCAGCCCTTTGCAATAGAGTGCTTCACCCTGCTGGCAGTTGGCCTTGCAAACAGGCAGAGAGCAGTTCCCATGGCCCACGCTACACGGTGCTGGCGGACAGCGCTGCGCTGGAGCAGATGAGTTTAGGAGAGCTGTCGGGACAGCCTGCCCCATCTCCAGTGCCTCTGGGGGGCCAGTGCCAGCATCCTCACCGTAGGTGCAGAGCTGCTCCAGATCAGGGTCCTCTTCTTGATGGGGCAAAGGGTGTTCTTGTACAGATAAATAGCGTCTTCGACAAAGATGGCAACTGAGCCCATGGTAAGAAAGGTCAAGATGATGGTGAGGGTGATTTCCAATGCACCCAGTTCTAAAGGAGAAGGGAAGTAGACGGCAATGAATTGAAGGGCAGATGCTGTTCTAGTAATGTCTACGGAATAAAGTGTGCGTGTGTGCGTGTGCGTGTGCGTGTGCGTGTGCGTGTGCGTGTGCGTGTGCGTGTGTGTGTGTGTGTGTGTGTGTGTGTGTTTTAAGACAGAGTCTCACTGTGTAGCCCTGGCTAGCCTGGAACTGGAACTCGATATATAGAGAAGGCTAGACTTGAGCTCACAGGGATTATTCTGCCCCTGGCTCTCAAATGCTTGGGATTAAAGATGTGTTCCATCATGTCTGACCCTGCAAAGGGTCTTTAACTCTTCCTCACAACTGAAAACATCTTTCCGAGCCATCCCATCAGTCCTCTGCCTTGTTTTTTGAGCAGGGTTTCTCACTGAACCTGGAACTCACCAATTTGACTGGACTTGCTAGGCAGCGAGCTCTAGGGACCCATCCATCTCTGCCTCCCTAGTGCTAGGGGTACATATCTACCTCACCATGCTTTTCATGCGGGTGCTGGGGATCTGAACTCAGGCCTTTAATGCTTATGTGGCAAGTGACTGACCCACTGACCTGTCCCCCTTAACCCCTGACATTTTAAAAAATTTTCCATTTAAAGGGTGATAGAGCTGTGCATATTCTGACATGGCATATGGTGTGCAATGATGATGTGTTCACACAATCACACCAAAGCTCATCCCCTGTCATCTCCCTTCTTGGAGATCTCCCAGAAGCCCATTCCCGGCTTCCCCCTGGCCTCTGGCCTGGGATCTCCACAGCCTGCGTTCTCCAGACTCAAGGGAGTTTTTCTAAATGAAGTGAGACACACATTGTCTTTCACAGCAGAAAGGCAGAGGGAGCCTACAGAGGGAGACGGTAACAGGAGGGACGTCTAGGGTTCCACCGTCCACTAGGGTGACTATAGTTCGAAGAAACAGTTCACATTTTATGAAAGACTAGAAATAGGAGCTTGGAGGTTCCAAACGGAAAGACATGGAGCTGGAGAAGTTAGCCACCCTGATTTGATCAGTGTACTTTTCGTATGCATATTGAAATACCGCACCATACTCCATCCATGTGCATAATTATTCCACACTAATTAAAAACCCTGTCATCTCAGCTCTTCTCTGTGTTTCAGACTGAAGATTTCACTGCCACACTCCCATCCTTCCAGCAGCCACAATGAGCCGTTTCTGCCCCCGAGGACTTTCTCTCTGGCTTCTGCTTGGCTGGCTCCTGGGCCTGTGTTCTCTGTTCCAGTGTTGAGACTTCGGCCCCCATGCCTGGGCAGCCTGCATGATGAGGCCTGCCCAGCTCGGTGAGGTTCTTTACATCTTTCTATACTTTGATGCTACCTCCAAGGCAGGGGCTGTGTCAGGCTGTCCTCTGTTCTGTTGCCAAGTAACAGTAACAGCTCTCTAAGTATGCTTGCTATTCAACTTGACACAAACTGGACTCATCAGAGAGGAGGGATCGCCAACTGAGAAAATGCCTCCATAAGATTGGACTGCGGTCAACCCTTTAGGGCGCTTTCTTATTTAGTGATTGATGGTGGAGGGTGCCAGCCCATTGGAGTGGCGCCACCCCTGGACTGGTGGGCCCGGCTTCCGTAAGAATTCAGGCTCAGCAGATCAGTGGTGGTGCACGCCTTTAATCCCAGTACTCAGGAGGTAGAGGCAGGCGGATCTCTGTGAGTTCAAGACAGGCCTAGTCCACAGAGAGAGTTCTAGAACAGCTAGGACTACACAGCAAGACCCTGTCTCAAGAGACTAATAGTAAATAAATAATCACAATAAAATAAATATATGCAATAAATAGTTTATGCAAATGGCATCTTACAAACTCTAAATGCTTTTTTTCTTTTTTTTTCTCGAGACAGGATTTCTCTGTGTAGCCTTGAGCCTTTCCTGGAACTCACTCTGTAGCCCAGGTTGGCCTTGAACTCACAGAGATCTGCCTGCCTCTCTCTAAATGCTCTTTGCCCAACCTCACTTCTATAACCTTTACTGCTTCCATCTGAGAAGCTGATGCTGCATTAGCACCCTTGGGTGTGTCTCCTAGATAGATAGGAGACTTTCTCTGGCATGTGCCTGGAATTAGAACTGCTGGGCTGGAGGAGAGGGCAAGTTTAGGTTTCATGGATACTGTATGCTATTCACAGGTATTATATATTATACTGGGTGTGGCTGCCGCTTCATCACCTTTTTTGTTGTTGTTGTTGTTTTTAAACATGGGTCCTGGGTATCAAACTCCAGTCTTCAGGTTTTCACAGCAAGAACTTTTACCCGCTGGGCCATCTCACTGGCCCTTTCTTGAATTTTGAAAAATGATTTGCTGTTTCTAATCATAAAGACAATTTCTACTTTTTTTTAATTAAAAAAGTTTTCATTTTATGTTTATGTCCTTCATCTGCCTGAATTAAAGTTAATTTCCTGTGTATTGATTTCCTTGGGCATAGGTAGCTGTTCTGCACATCTTCCTAGGAGCCAGTCCTACAGCATCCTTCTGTGTGGATCCCATGTCCCACAGCATCCTTCTGTGTGGACCCCAGTGTCCCACGGCATCCTTCTGTGTGGACCCCCGTGTCCCACAGCATCCTTCTGTGTGGACCCCCGTGTCCCAC